AAGTTGCTAATAAGGTATTATTACGTGCTCCTAATTCCCACTGGGTTATATCTTATTGTGCGAATGTATCATCAATAACTTGAAATAGAAATTAGAGGCATGATAAACAATAATCTTTCAGCTAACCCACCTGCGCTATACTATCGATATATATGTACATGTCCATATGCCCATTGAACTTCATTGGCCTACGTGAGAATTATACACCAAACACAAGCTGCTTCCTATACAAGCCGAAATAAAAGGTAGAATTGCAGACAAGATATGTATACACACATTTTTGGTACACATGTGTGTATGTATGTATGTATATATCTATGTGTGTACAGAAAGGCTGGAAGTGAATGTAGGCAAATTACTCTGCAACGATTTTGGAAGGGCTTGTCAGATGCACTTTTTTGGGGGTTTTAAATAGGTATGTATGTATGTAGATATGCACATAGAACATACAAAAAAATTAACTGAAAGATCGAAGGCAAATGGCTTCTTTGTTAGGTGCTAGATATGCATTTCAAACCATATAAATACCCAGTAGACAATTTCAGGAGTTAAAAGCCCTTCCGAAAGGTTTCCTGAGAGTCAACAGGCCTTCCACTCTACATTCCTGTCTCCTTTCTGTTTTGTATGGAGTGGCACAAATTGAAGGGCTTCTTCTTTCGCTACCCATGAAGACTTTCCAGAAGGGCTTTTATAGGACATACATACGTACTTCAGAAGGGCTTTTGCGGGAGTTATTTTAAAGTTGATTCTTTAGTTTATAGAAATCATATATCTCTGAAGTATTTTTGCTTGCGTCTTATATCAAACACGAGTTATTTCAGCTTAAAAAGTTTATTGAAATTCATTTGTAATGCTAAATAATATATGTAAATTTATGCATTCGCGTAAAATGTAAATGGATAAAAGCCCTTCTAGAAGGCATGCAAGGAAGCGGTTTTTTCAGCCCTTCTTGGGTATGCCTCTTAGAATGGCTTTACTTAAGAAGGCCTACCTAAATTATCTTCTTGGTAAATAAACATATGTATGCATGTACACATGTACATTGTCTATTATGCAAACAATAACCTCATAAACCTGCAACCTACGGAAATATCTTTATGTATCTATGTATTTTGTTTATAAAACGAAAAACACCTTTTTAGTGATATTTAAACTTACCTTGGTGTTCAAGTTTCTTTGCTGCTTTATTATTTTTTGTGGCTTTGGCTTGCGGCAGTTCACGCGATGTTCGTTTTTTAATTATTAATCTATTTACATATATCTACGTCGCCTGATGTAATTTCTAGTAAAATTTAGCGACCTTTGTTGCATTAACCGTCGGCTCAACTCCGTTTTTTTATTTTTATTTGGTGCTTCACGCTTTATTTAATGAATCTTTGCACTTTTTGTCTAAATTTTACAAATAATTTTTGCTGCTTCTCACAACTGAACCAACCTTATCACTGTTTATAAGTGCGTATTACTCTTGTCCAGCTACTTTATTAATTAACACTTTGGTGGAGGAATATTTTATAACATTTCTAAATTTGTTCAGCTTTTGTAAATGCACTTTACCAACAAACTTTTATTTAAATTTTGCAAGAAATACTCGTGCGCTTCGCCCTGCTTGCTGCACGATTGACGATTGACTTGCCTGCCGTTAATTTTCTATGGTTCGCTTTGGTGGTGCACTTTCCGTCTACCCTCAATGCCTTTCCATTTGTTGTTTTTTTTATTGCTGTCGACAATGCCTTTACCACCATTGGCACATGTTCATGAGTCACGTAGGCACCTGAAAACGAAGCAACTTGTGGAATCAGCTGTTTGTATTTAGTAATTAAAATGAAATTTTTAACGCAATGACACGACAAAGCATGAATATTCCTTTATTTTTTATTTGCTTGCAGTTTTCATTAGATAAATTAAAAATTAATGCTGCGATTTCTATAAATAATTCGCGAAATATTGCCAAAATGAACACAATGCACGCGGACAAATGTTAAAACATGAGTCAAAGCCGTCACTTTGCTGTCTCTGATAACGAGCGGTGTTGGATAACGAAATTAATCAAATGCAGACTTGGTACATATATCGCAGGGATGATTTGAGAAAAATGTCCCTCTCAGCGTGTTTACATGAACCAAAAATACAAGATCACGCAAGAACGCGACGTTGTATTTGTAACTGGTTTTGAGAAAAAAGTTTGCGAAAGCGGGTTCGTACATTAGAATTTACAAAAGGAATTCCACTACTCTGCGTACTTTTCTAGTACCATTTTCGCACCAAGAGATTTCATTCTTCCCCTTTCTCCGTCCTTCGTCCCATTTCAAATGTTTTTCTGAATCCATTTATTTTTCGTTATCTTGCTTTTATAAATTTGTTTAATTTAGCGGATCACGGTTGCATTTTAGTATCGAGAAATATTGCTAGAAATTCAATCGCCGTGTAAACAGTCAAAAAGCGATTTCAGAAATTTTCCCTGCAATTCGCCTTCGGAAAAAAAATTCTTTCGAACGACACTTTACATGCAAGGTGCCAATGCTCATGCAACTGCTTTCTGCAATTTCTCAAATAATAATTGATAACGTCATTTTTTAATCGGTTGTTTCATTCACACACATGGTTT